AGCCGTTGATGCAGCAACTGTGTTCGTTCTTCCTCCATTGCCTTCTTTGCCATTGCTGCTACTGCTAGTGTTGCTACTGGTTCCTTCTTTCTTTTCTTCTCCTCCTTCGCGAAACAAAACCAAAAATCCATTAGTTACTAAGAACTCACCATTTTCTTGTTTGAAATTGCAATATGATCATAGAGATTACAATTTCTTGTAGTTGTGTTGCATTCTACCTTATAAAAAATGATAATTATGTTCAACCCACATATAATTGTATATACATAAGGGTAACGGGCTAATTGTATAGCCAAGAAATGAATTAAAACATAATAATTAACCAAAACCCTACACCTTTGGTTAGTTATTAAGTTTTAATTTTTCTTGGTTAGTACACAAATTAACCCGATAAGCGATCCGTAATGGTCAAGTTGCTTTTTTTCTTAACGTGATTTTTGTAATCATATGTAACAAAAAAAAACAATATTAATGATATGCTTAATAACTATATAACAAAAATATAAAAACAATTAATTTTGATTAAACCAAAAAAAAAAAAAAACATGCATATAATTAAATCATAAGTTTATAAACACATGTGAGAAAGAGAAGGTACGTACCTTTACTAGTACCGTCGCAAGTGTATTTGTCGAAAACACCACATTTGGTTGTGATACCGGCTGAATAAGGTCCGGTAATGTTGACAATCGCCGGGTTCGCAATGTAATTGTCGCAGAGACAAGTTACTTGCGTTGTGGTCGCGGATTTGAGATCGCTGCAACAATCATCTGTTGGTGTGTCTCTAACGGTTGCGAAACACTTTTCAAGGAGGTCAGGCATCACCGTGGCACATTTAGGATCCATCTTTGGAAACATCGGTGGCTCTGCCGCAGCTAAACGCGGAGCAATCGCAACTGCTAAAAACAAAACCGCTGCTACCACTGAAACTTTGTTAATGTAAGCCATTTGAATGTCTAAAACGCTAGCTAGATAACAATCCACCAAAAAGTGATTCTCCTCACTTTTTTTTTCGTATTTGACTTCTCAACAAGTGCATTAACGTATATATAGGAGTCTTGGCATGGAAATTACTGATTATTAATAATAAAAACAAGAAATATAGTTATATTTTTTTTCTTCTTATTTTCATAATCATTGTTTTATGTTTTACATAGTTGACCAAAAACATGCGAGTTTTCTTTCTGTACCCATGTTCCTCGCATTTGAATATCTTTGAGG